GACAAAGCTTTTAATGAAGATTTTTTTTAGGAATACCCAACCTAAATCTGTCTGGGACAATTTGAGGCCATTCCCTCTTGTTACTGCTCATTCCTTGGGAGGAGAGATTTAACTTCACAAACCAAGCTGAGGGCTCTGTCCCTTCTCAGGACAGCAAGTGACACTCTCAAGCTGCTGATGCTGAAGTTCCCCTGCTCTAATTAAGTGGATTTCTCATCCCACACAACAGAATTTATCTCATTGCATGACCAGAGCCAGGTCCCTGCAGCTCCCAGGGGAAATCCTGAATTATGCCAGTGCCTGAGTGCCCAGCTCAGAGTTTGCCTGGCTCAGGAGAGCCCCCAGAGTGTTGCAGCAGGCACAGATCGCTGCCCACCCCCTCTCAGTGCAGTTTTGCTGGAAAAACTTCCTGATCCTCAGCAGTTTTCTCCTTTTTCCATCTCTCTTGTAGCAACTTTTGTCTGAAACTCCCTGGCCTGGTTTGTTTTTCCTTTATGTTTAGCAGGAGAGACTGCAGTGCTTCTGCTCTGAATAATCAGTGGGATTATTCAAATTATGATTGAATTGATTGGGTTATGATTGGGATTTTGGTTCCCATGTCCCAAATCAGTGTGGCCATGGACAGCAGAGTTAAATGGGTAAGAGATGACAGCAGGACAAGGAGACAGAGCCCAAGAGGAGCTAAAATTCAGTGAGGAGAACAAGGACCAAAGAGCTCCCCACGTTTTCTTCATTGTCCTGACAGACTGAGCAGGGTCTGGCTTCTGCAGGAATCATCTCCTGGTGCCTTGGGAGCACCAAATCCTTCCCCTCCTCCAAGGAGAGCAGCTCAGCCCCTTTAAACCCTGAGCAGGCTTGGTTCAACTTACTCAAAGTTGAAGTTATTCTCCCAAGAGATAAGATTTCCCCCTGAAACTTTGTCACTGTGTTATGGCTGTAATTTTGCCTTGGAATGGGTGCAATGGGATGCAAGGTCCTTGGGATGGACATCAGAGAAAGCTGGGGTGGGTCAGTGCTCCCAGCTAGGCCCGGCAGAAGGAAGAGGGGAAACCAGAGGCAAAAAGACAGGATGGTGTTTCTCCTCATCTGACTCCAAGCTCTGACCTTCTCAGACAAATCCAGGGAATTTCCTCCTGCTGGAAGGCCACTGTGGGCAGGAGCTCAGAGTGGGGGTCTGGAGGGCACTCGGGGGGGAAGGAATCGTGTGCTGCTGCTGGGAATTGGCTCTGGATGGCAGCTCCCAGTGTCAGGAGCTGGGAAGGAGAAAAAAAGAGGGAGAAATCCTCCCCATGGCTCTAAATCCCTCTTCTCCTTCTGCTTGCTCCAGCCTCATTGTTCCAGGCTCCCGTGTGTCAAAGCTTGGTAGCTGCTCCTGCATTTCCTGATCCATTGGTTTCCCTCCTACAAACACTGCCCTGTTCCCAGCAGGGCAAGAAATCCAGGGAAGAATTGTTCCAAAGTTTTGGAACCCTCTTGGAATGTGCCAGGAGCCGTCCCAGGGGATGGGGAGATCAAACCAAACCAAGTTCAGCCCCTGGCCAGGTGTGCTGGGACGGGTCACTCAGGGCTGGGCTGAGCCAGTCTCTCCTGCCAGGCTGGAATCCACATTCTGGATTTGCTTCCACACCCTGAGGCCACTGCTGGGTCCTGGATGCCTGGAGGGGAGATTCCCCTCAGGAATGTTTAAACTGTGGGGATTT